ACACACACCACACCACACACACACACACACACCACACACACCACACGGACATACACACACCACACACCACACGACGACACACACACCACCCACACCAACACGACGACCACACACACACACACCACACACACACACACGTCCCTCGAGGACCTGCGAGACCCAGTATTGCGACTTGTAGGCCCTCGAGGACTTGCGCGACGTAATGGTGTTAACCACCTGGCCCTCCGACTGGAGTCTCCTCGACTTCGTGCGCTCGGTAGCACAGAGGAGGTACGATGGTCCTGGACGGTGCAGGTGTAGGTCGTGATGTCGGTTGCCGCGCATGTGTGTGGTTAGTGTGTGTGTGTGTGTGTGTGTGTGTGTGTGTGTGTGTGTGTGTGTGTGTGTGTGTGTGTGTGTGTGTGTGGTGTGTGTTGTGGTGTGTTGTGTGTGTGTGTGTGTGTGTGTGTGTGTTGTGTGTGTGTGTCGTATCTTCAACGGAGGTCCATAGGTGTGACTTTGAGGAAGACCACGTTGTCGCGTTGTTTATCCTAAAGTGGTTTCAACACAATAAATCATTTCTCATATCGTAACATTTGTCTTAGAATAAAAAGTCGGACTTCCTGTCTACCTCAAAGTTTCTACGACTGGGGCAATGTTGTTCGTGAAACAAGTCCTTTTTCCTGCTTTACCAGAGTCGATCTTAACTGTAATGTTCACGAAAACTTTTCCAACCCGGTCCCTGAAACCTCTTTGAGCTTGTGTACGACTGCTATTTGGAATTCCAGTTCTCGCTGGGAACGACCAGACCTCTTGTAAAAATCATCAAATCACTTAAATTTTGACCAATCCTTTAGTGGGTGGGTTCTGTGGATATATGACACACATCATAATATAATCACGACAGTTTGGTAAATGTGTAAAATTTAGTCTAATTTGAGGGTCGGATTTTTATCCACTTAGACTATTAGTGGTAAGTCTTGATAACAGGTTTTATATGGTAAGCAATACATATAACCAACACCCCTTAACCCCCGTTTCTATTTACTTTCCTTCCGCCCATATAGGTAAATTGTGTGTCATAAAATAATATTGTAAGACACCCCACAGTTTTTACTTTGTTGTCCGGGTGTGTGGAATAGTTTGGAGGTAGTTTGGCACCCACCAGAATAAAGTAATGCACAATATAACTAAAGATAGTTGCCCCTCCGTGAAGTCGCTTTACAAGCTGCCGATGCCCCCCCCGATCGAACCCTGTAAGTCCTTTCAAGCTGCCCCCCCCCCACCCGAATTCCACGCGTCATGAAGGTCCTTTCAGCTGCGCCCCCCGCCCCGATCACCTCATAAAGGCGTCGCTTTCAGCTGCCCCCCCCCGATCACCCCTCGTGAAGCCTTTCAGCCTGCCCCCCCGGCCGATCACCTCGATGAGCAGTCCGTTTCAGCTGCTCCCGCATCAACCTCATGAAGTCCTTTCAGCTGACCCCCCGAACGATCACAAAAAGGCTCATGAAGTCTTTCGAGGTGCCCCCCCCCGAATCACCTCCGGATGAAGTCCTTTCAGCGGCCCCCCCCCCCGATCACCCTATGAAGTCGCTTTCAGATCCTGCCCCCCCCCTATCACCGTCATGAAGTCCGTTTCTAGCCCTGCCCCCCCCCGATCACGGCTCAATGAAAGTCCTTCTCAGCTGCCCCCCCCTCATCACGCTCGTGAAGTCCTTTCAGCTGTCCCCGCCCCGATCACTCATCGCAAGTCCTTTCAGCCTGCCACCGATCACTCATGTGAAGTCCGTTTCAGCTGCCCCCCCGAAATCATCTCATAAGTCCTTTCAGCTGACCCCTCCCCCCCCCCCGGATCACCTCATGAAGTCCTTTCAGCTGCCGTCGCCACGGATCAACCTCATGAAGTCCTTTCCAGCTGCCCCCGCGCACCGATCACCGTCATGATCCTCCCCATTCAGCTGCCCCCCCCGATCACCGTCATGAAGTCCGTTTCAGCTGCCCCCCCCCCCGACCCAGGGGGGCCCCCCCGGATCACCTCATGAGTCCCTTAAGCTGACCCCCCCCACAACCGATCATCATGAAGTCCTTTCAGCTTGCGATCACGCCGTACGGCTCATGAACGGCGTTTCAGCTCGGCAAACACAACCGGCAGCACCCTATTGTTGTCTTTTTGTGTGGGCTGCGGTTTGTTGTGTGGTTGTTGACGTGGTTTAGGTTGGTTTTTTTGGTTGGTGGGTTTGTGTAGGTTGTAGGTTTGTGGGGGGTGTGTTTTGGGTTTGGTTGGTTTTTGTTTTTGGGTGTTGTTGGGTTTGTTTTGTGGTTTGGTGTAGGGTGTGGTTGGTTTCTGTGTGTGTGGGTGTTTTCAAAATGGTGAGTATGCTGACGGGTTAGGTGCCCCACACACAACACCCTCCCTCGTATTCGACCCGTATGAAGGTCGCTTTTCAGCTGCCGCTCCGCGCCTGTATCACACTCATGAGAGCCTTCGCTGCCTTTTCGTTAGTGTCGTGTGGAATTCTGTGCTCCTCTTACCAACCACTTCACCGGTTTTATGAAGTGCTCTTTCATGCTGCCCCCCGCGCGCGACTCACCTTGGTTGGTCATGAAGCACTGGTGTCCCTCACACTTAGCAATTTTGGGGTTTTGTGTTGTTGGTTGGTGTGGTAGCTATTTCAGTCACAAAAAAATCGCGGGCGTAGAGGATGTTCACTTGCCCCCCCTTTCAGAGCGGAGGCGTCGCGGCAATGCCGATTCATTGGTCGTGGCGGCAGGAGCGCGAGCGAGACACGTGTGCCTC